AGCCTGCACATGTATGAACGTATAAGCCCTGGATTTGGGCAGTGTTGTTTGGCGCCATACGCCTTGGATAGGGTATGGTTGCGGGATTGAACTGTTAAAAGGGGAATAATTGGATAATGTGTTTAATGTACATACGCCTTGAATAGGGTATGGTTACGAATTTGAACTGATACAAAGGAAGAGTTTGAGAATGTGTTCATTGTGTTTTTGTCGAATTTGAAATTGTGATGGATCCGAAATGTGTAGTTGGTTATGTTGTGAATGATTGTTTATTTTCGGAACTGTGACCGTTGAGATGAGAACTACGTGTGGCTTGATCCCTTGTCCAAGGGTACGTAAGCAGCCTGGGGTCTCATCAGGCGCAGCCGCGAAATATTATGGTGTTTAAAAGGGTTGATCGATTTTGCGATGTGATTGTTGGATTTGAATCCGGTTTAACGTTTTCTGTGATGTTTGTAAAGTTGTTTGAGGTTATTAATTACATGGTTTATGTATTAATTGATTTGAGAACATTGTTGGTTCTGCTTCGAACTATCCGAAGGCTGAAGGCCTATTATTTGATTTGCATGAGATTATATTGTGCATGCTGCCGGTTGGCATTGTTAAATGTGTTTTATGCAGGTTGGAATTTTTGGGAAATGTCCAATTTATAGGGGAGATTCTGCCGAAATTTCGGTAGAAAGTCTCGTGCTCTTTTCCCTTAATTTGGAAAAGAGACTAAATTTTTAGTTAGTGGGCCCGGCATCGGTGTGATGTCTAAATTTCCACAGGATTCGTCTCGGATTTCGAGATTATTGCTCAAAGGCATCACTTCTTGGTAGCCACAATAACCACGCATATGCTTTGCATCAGGTTTCTTTGACATTGTTTGACTTTGTGTGTATTGACTTTTGGGACTTAGGGGTGCCATGTTTCTGGATGAGTATGAGATACTCGATTTGTTGGGTTGTGAAAGTGAGTCTTGGGACTCGGTTATGATTATTGGAAATAAATGGTGTGATTTTGTGAATGGAAGTATTGCATAAGAATGTAATGGTTTATTGAAATTCATTTTATATTTATTGGTTGAATTTATTATCTTTGTAAGTATTTGTGATATATGTGAGTTTTGACATATTCTAGTATCTGGAGTTATATATATACAATACTCGAGAAAGTGCTATGTTTGTTGAATATGTGTGGGGTACTTGGGATTTGGTTGTGAGATAAGGAGAGATGTGAGTTAGAATGTCAGTTTGAGTGCTATTAGCACTACCTTAGGTACCTCCCTGGATATAGAATATACTTGAGTTTACTGTCTATGCTATGAATAGGTATTGTGGGAAAATTGAATTAAGAAATGGAATATTATTTTATAATATTTATATAAGGATTATGAACTCCACCATCATACGTACCTTCCCTGGTTACTATTCACACACGTGCCGGGTTTCGGGCGTGTGGGCTTTCTTGGTCACGGATCCTGGAATTGTGGGATGCCGGAAAATTATGGATATGGTTTGGATATGTTGGCACTCGGACGACCGGGATCAGGGGTCCGAGGATCCTTAATTGGGTAGTCTGCGCGCGTAGGACTTTTCCAGGCATACGAGTCTTGATTCTTCGTCCGTACGTGCTGGGTTAGAATGTCAGTCCCACACTTGGACGGCTCATCCCTAGCCACATGGTCTTTGAGGGCGGTTTACATGTGGTTAGTAAACAATCCCCTGTTGGATTGTTTTTCCCAGTACATGATGTGCATCATCATATGTACCTCCCCTTGGATACTGATACATGGAAATTGTAGATATGGTCTGGATATGACGGAACCCGGGGCATACCTTAACGGGGTGTCACTGTAGACCCTTAATTGGGTAGTCTGCGCGCGTAGGGCTGTTTTCAGACGTACGGGTCTTGATTCTTCGTCCGTACGGGCTGGTTGAGTTTAGTCCCCCAGTTGGACGGCTCGTCCCTAGCCACATGGGCATTTGAGGCCGGATACTTGTGAGCTAGTCAACAATCCCCGGTTGGATTGTTTCCCCTGGTACATGATGATGGTGAGAGGTGGGTGTTATTATATATTTACTTATATACTCATTTATAGGCATACATGTTACACATTGGTATATGTGGTTTTGATTCGGGATTGAGAGTCGTAAGATTGTCCTTTGTGAGGACCCTGTGTATGTATGAATGTTGGAGCCCCGGATTGGGGAATGTTGTACGGCAACATACGCCTTGGATAGGGTATGGTTGCGGGATTGAACTAATATAAAGGGAAGAAATTGATAATGTGTTCAAAGTACATACGCCTTGTATAGGGTATGGTTGCGGGGTTGAATTGACTTAAAGAAAGAGATTGAGAATGTGTTCATTGTGTTTTGTCGGAATTGGAATTGGGATAGATCTGAAATGTATTGTTGGTTGTGCTTTAAATAATTGTATATATCGGAGTTGTGACCGTTGATGATAAGAACTACGTGTGGCTTGATCCCTTGTCCAAGGGTACGTAGG